ATGATATGCAGCCATGAAACCATTACTATAGGCATGAATTGCTGAGGAAGGTCATAGATGATAGAAAATCATAGAGATCCATAGATAACCATGTTACAGTTTTGAATGGGCCTTCCAGCAAGCCTTACAAATGACAGAAGGCTGGTGTGTGAGTGTACATCAGCTTTCATTGTTGCTTAACTTAAACCTTTTAAATCCGTATATCTTCTCATGCTGGGGGAGAACTTCCCTTTGTAGCTGAGTGCCTCTTCCTGTAGTGCTGGCTCAGGTGGCAAACATACACACAGACACCATGTATCCATTTCAGAGACAAGGCAGTCTGCTGCAAAACAGAAGTTCTGCCCAGCATGAGAAGAGATACAGATTTAAAAGGAAGAGCAGCAAAGAGAAGGGGAACTACCATGGATTACAGTAAGGCACACATTACAGTATTGTTTTATGTTAAAAAATCTGAGGGTTTAATGTCACTTTAAGTTTTATAAAGGCTGCATTAAGAATATTTTCCATGCACCCTGATGCAAGGTTTTCAAGATGTTGATGCAAATATAATTTTCAGTTCTGCAGACTTTACAAAGACCTAAAAGGATGTAAGGGAAAACTACTGTCAAGTTAAGTGTAATATGTATGTTACGTCTGCGAAGTGCTTCATTAGGTATGGTCATTTTTTTAATAGATCTGCACTACAGATTAGAATCCATATCATACGCTTTCGCTCACTGGTCAAAGGATGTGTCTTCTTTCACAACCAGCTCCTTTGTTCACCCAATAGGCACAACCCAGCTCAAGTACCTGATCACCCCCATTGTGTCTCTGATATATTACAACCCTGCAGATCTGATCATCCATACAGCAACATATGCATGAGCCAACAGCCTAGAAGCTGAAGTGATTAGTCGATATATCTAGTAAAATGTTCAGCACAGCATAAAATCATGTAGCCATCAAGGAACAATGACAAACTTACAACTAAGCAAGAGATAAAATTAAATATAGGGCAGGGCCCTCCTAGCCATCTCGTCTTGAATTGTATTGTATCTGTAATGTCTTCCTTATATTATAAAGGACTGTGCAAATTGTTGGCACTATATAAGGCCTGTATAATAATATAATAATAATTTTTTAAAAATAGAAAGTTCAACATAACATGCATCATCTCAGTTCTCAAAGATTAGGACAGCTGAAAAGTGTATCCTCCGTTTTTCCAGGCATGGGCTTATTGTCTATTGACTCATAAGTACAACAGGAGGCCAATAGGCCCAAATCCTTTCAGCCTTTCCAATGTCTTGTCCACCAGTGCAGTCATTTATGAAGTGCACCCAGTGACACTATCTCACATGTGCTCATCTGGTGTGACATCCTGCTGTATATGGCCACCCTGAGTTGGGTTTTTCTTCCTGGTTATCAAAAATGTTAAGAAACGTCAATCATTTAGACACCATACTGTGTAGTAGATAGAACAACTGTGCCCCCAAACCCGCTGCTAAATTTCAATTTTGCACTATAGAAATTTTGCTTTCATTTGACTCAGTGGATGGCAGCCCTTCGTGGCCGCCTTTACCTCCCTGTAAAGTCAGTTTATTTTCCCCAATGGTGTATACAGCGTTAAACAGTATCCACCCACGTACCTAAAGGGGAAAAAACACTGGTGTGTATATCACAGGAAATTTCCTAGACAAAAGCCTTGTTAATTCCCCCCTCCCGTGTGAATAACAATGCATTATTTAAGTTTAGAAAAGGCTCAAAGTGCAGTCTTGCAAAGCGATCATTAACCATTTTCTTCCCGGTAATTTTTCATGTACTGTGAAGGAATAGAACAGTCTTTCTGCTGAAATATCATCCACCGTGGACTGCAGCAGGAAATTAGGCCAAGGAGTTATCCATAATCCTTCATTAAAATGAAATAACCACCAACAGCTCTTTGAAAAAAGCACATCGTACACTAGAGGTAACCATCAAAATGTAAGCAGAATACTTGTAAAGGTGGACAGGCCAGAGGTCATCTGAATCTTTGTGACTGGTCAGACCTCGGAAGGACTCTCACCCTACTTGTGTGCCACTTGGTACATGGTGTGTAATCTCTCAGCAGGCAGTCAAGTGAGGCATCAGCTCAAAGTTATGCCAGCAGGAGAGAAGAATGAGAAATCTAATGAAATTCCAAACCATTGGGCATCTTTCCTGAATGTTGCTTAGATTTCAATAGTACACTTCAGGAAAGGAAACTTGTCATGAAAGAATAACCTAGGCTGCTCTTTCCTAAAAGTAGTGCAAGTACCTGCATTTAGCAGGCTTTTGCAACTGACGATACAGCAACACTCAGTATGGGAAAGGGAAGGGTATCAAGGATCATGCTAATTGGAGATGAGAGCAGAGTGAGCAGATGGAGGAGCTCATCGGTCTGCCTCTGCTCTCTTACTGGCTAATCCAAAGGCTGGGGATGGAGAGAGGGCACCACCTTATTTCTTTCATAGACATTAAAATGGAAGTGGTGTCATCCACCTGGCTATGCTGTGGCAGAAACATGTAAACCTCAGGAAAGGATGGACAGAAATACAAGTCCTTTGGCAAGAAAAACAAGAATTCTATCTTTGTATTTAACATTTGTCTGAAGTTTACATGTCAGTTGTCTGGCTGTTTCTGTCTTAGGTTCTTTTAACTCACAGATCAGGGAAAGAGCATGCTGTAAATAGGCTGCTAACTCATTACAAACATGCAGCCAGTAAAGCCAGAACTCTAGATCTGTAGTCTTGTATCAGGTCAGTGAGTTTGTTAAATGAGTTTCTAAACTGGCAACCAAAGTGAGATGTGGCTAGCACTGCTTGTGTACCTTTATTTTATGGAGCACCAGGGGAGCACCGAACCCCAAAATACACCACGTGAAAATGAAAATCACTGTTGGAAATACATTGACTGCTTACTGTAGTTTACAGAAGACATTTCCAATGCATTGTTTTTAGAGAAGAAATGGAAATTAAGAGTAACTTTAATTTGTTATTTTGGCAAATATTTACCTGAATGCAGACAATGATGTCTTAACAAGCCGAGTTTTCCCCATTGGCTTCAATTAGCAGCAACAGATTATTATATTACCTGCTATACATTCTGGTGTGTGCAGAATATATTATGCTGGAATTTCTGCCACATCTCAAGTTTTGTTATGTGTACTCAAGCTTCTGTTGAAGGATTCGTTAGCATATCATGCCTCACCAATTGCAGCTGAACAATGCAAATGGCATGCCAATCAGCTGGAAAGTTCCTCACTAATGTTCACAAATTCCAATTTATACTGTCCTGACTTTCACATACAAATCAGTACAGCACAATGCCTTGATAAGCAAAGGCTGATATCATTGATTTTGGGGGAAATTAAAAATTGCATTATGCCTGATCTGTAGCACACAACAGGGAACTCTGGATGCATAATGATTTTTGTTATGAAGAAAATAACTGGTTCCGATGTGTTACATGAACAACTTATTCAGTTATTAGGCCTTGTAAATGCATTGATTAAAAGGGACATTAAACAGTATCCTCTACAATCCCTTCATTCAACCACCTTCTCCTTAACCATTCCAATGATGAATCCATTCCTTAGCATTTGTAATGTTCGCCAGACAAAGTGACACAAACCCCTCAGCTTTTTTCTTCGTATACACATCTACACAATGAAAATTCTCCGAAGCCACATTTATTTTTGTTTTAAAATAAAGTCTTACTATTTTATTGCCTTTAGAAAGTCTGCAGTGCTCGCTCCCATAGCGCTTCTCTCCACTCACACTTCCTGTCTCTTAGTAAGAGGTGTGCACGTTAATTCTGGTCACGTGCACATCTTTCTTTGCCTACAACTCCCATGAGGCAGAGAGGAATCATCTCTCATTGTACACAGCCTTCCCCCTCCCTACTATACACACTGACAGTGTCGCTGCATGTAATCTCTTCTGCAATGCTCTAAATTATCAAAAACTACTTACAACAGCTTTACAACAAATCTACAGCAAACATCAAGTTTACAGCAATCTACACAGAAAAACAACTTTATTTAAAATGCAGGAGCCATATCCTCTGTTAGTGTGTGACCAGATTCAGCATGTGAGCTGAGACTCAGAGGAAAGTATGAGGCCATTGACAGCTCACATGCTGAATCTCCTCTCCTCCCCCCACATTCCCTCCTTGGTAAGCCAGGTGGAGATAAATCAAAGATCAGATATTAGTGTGGGAGAGTTGAAGAAATCACAGCTCCTTGCAGAGTCTAGAGGGGAGGATTTGTGGGTGGAGACTGCGAAGACACGCCCTCAACATGTTGTAGTCCTTCACATGAACGAGCACAGAGGGTGGCTACTTTTCAACTCCCATAGGGACCCTGCAGAAGAAAAGTAGCCACCCTTTGGCAGGAAGTTGTGGCTGGAGAAAAATAAAACGGATTGTGGAGCATTTAGGGCTGGAGAATTACAAAAAAGGTATGCAGTCATTTATTATTAATATACTTTTTTTATTATTTAATTTCTGGGTTTAGTGTCGCTTTAACGAGGAAGTCACATAACTTTTAATGACAGGCCAAAAGTTCCTTAAAAGGTTGCCGCTTTAGGAGGGATTAATACAGAATGCTGAGGGCATGATGGGTCCTGCGGGTAGAAGCTGGTGTACATATTTTTTTAAAAGGGTGGAAAAGCCCCTTAGGTGAGATACAAGCCATTAGTAACCTTGACAGCTCCACTTAGACTTCATGATGTCTTGGACCAAGCTATTGACCCTTTCTGTTATCAAGAAAGCTTATGTTGATGAATTCCAATGGTGTACTGAACATGAAAGAAAATGACCTAGCAGAGGAGGTATGAAAACCCAAACCTTTTCTTTCAAGCCTAATAAAACAGTATTAGGAATGTAATACGTTATTTAAAAATAGATTTCAAAAGTATATATTGCGTGTATATACACATGTGTAAAAAAGAATAATTTGTGCCCAAGTATAAATAGTGTTTGTGTGACAATAGAAATTCACCTACCTGAACATATCTCCCAGACCTTTCAGCATGCCACCTTTCTTGGCCTTGCTTTTATCTTTATCTTTATCTCTGTCTTTCTTTTTCTCTTTACCACTCTTATCCTTTTTATTCTTTTCTTGGCTTGATCCATTGACCTGTCTCTCTAGAGAATGAGATGGCTGGTCACTGGCAGTAGAAACAGACTCTCGCCCTGATCGAGAGCTCTCTTCAGTGTCTTCTTCCACTGAAGAAAAAAAAATAAGTAAAATGTCAGTAAGAACGATAGAGTACAAAAGATCACATAAGTGGCAATGACTGACCAAACCAATGAAAGACTGACCAAGAGACACCTGTGCACATAAAACAAGCTAACAAAATACATTTTGCTATCATGGCTACTGGAGATAAATAAAGAAATTAAAAAGCAGCTTCTAAATGTGAGGAGGTGTGCAAGGCTTAGAACAGAGGTTCCTCCAATGTTAATACAATAAAAGTACAATCATCTAGAGATGTATTTTGCACTCTCTACCTACCCAGTGTGGTAGACATGTCCTTTTGTTCCAACTGTGTTTGATTGGTACCTGATAAAGTAGTAGAAGTAGTTAGGAGTACTCACATTATGTGCTGTTACAGCCTCCACCCAGCACCAGTGTAAGCAAAAGGTCTGAGATGGTAATAGTAATAATAATAAAAACATTTATGAGGCTGAAGTGTAAGGGAAATCAGCTGAACTGAAGAAACTGGCCACAGCAACCAAATCCCATTCCTATTTTCTCACAGAAGGGTGCCTTGTACAAAGGGTCAGTGGAGTTTTACAAGCACTTTACCTACCCCACTCAACAGACTTGTTTAGTGGTTCCATATGTGATGTGCCACCTGGTAAAGTATCAATTAAAGGTAATGAGTGTCTTCATAGGTACAGCTGTTTTATTTTATCCTGCGCTGAAACTACCATAAAGGGTAACATTTTATCAGTTTAATATTAATCACAGTGATCTGATCATCTTAATAATAAACATATTAATCTAATAATCAGGCCCAGCTATTACAGAATAAGTGCACCTTTTAATATTCACATCAATAGTGTATGCACCCTTAAGCATTTTAACATATGTTGGTTATTACCTTATCTGCCCGTGTCTCTCTCTCTTAAGCTGGGTTCACACCTAGGCGTATCGAATATGCGCGTTTGTCGCGCGTTTCGTGACGCGCATTTTTACCGCGATTCGCTACTTGGCTGTATCCCAATGGAAACACGCGACAAAAACGCCCCAAAGAAGCTCCTGTACTTCTTTGGGCATAGGACGTTTTGTAGCGCATTCATACGGCCTGTAATACGCCCAGGTGTGAACCACACCCATAGGAAATAATGGGATTTCGGTGTTTGAGCGTTTTGCAGAGCGTTCGAACGTGCTACAAAACGCCCAGGTGTGAGCCGGGCCTAAAGGTGGCCATACACTTTACAACCATCGCAAGACCTTAGTCTTGAGATGGTTGTAAAGTAATTTAAAAACCGTACGATCTGCCCATCTTGGACAGGCAGATCGTACTTGCGATCATACTTGCGATGACCACAATGCTGAACGGGCAGTGTGCACGTGCGCACACCGGCCCGTGCGGCATCGATCTTACGATCATGCTAAAAACCAGCCGAAAATCGTACGATTTTCGGCTGGTTTTCAAGCATGCTTCTTAGACAAAAGACGTGCGACCTTACAGTAGAAACGGTTGCACGTCTTCATTCACACTGTATGGGCACCTTAAGGCTGGGTTCACACCTGGGCGTACGGAATATGCGGTAAAAGAAACTCGCGACAAACGTGCGTTTCCGAGGGCTATCCGGCTGTATCCTAATGGCTTCGTGCGGCAAATACGCCCCAAAGAAGCTCCTGTACTTCTTTGGGCGTAGGGCGTTTTACAGCGCGTTCCACGCACTGTAAAACGCCCAGGTGGGAACCATGCCCAAAGGCAATTATTGGTTTTCACATGTTGAGCGTTTTACAGAGCGTATGAACGCGCTGTAAAACGCCCAGGTGTGAACCAGGCCTTAGGTCTGGTTCACACCAAGCGCGTTCCAGGAGCAGAGCAGTTACAGACAGAAGTAAAACTGCGTCCAATGTATTCCAATTGAATTTTTTGCTCCAGTTCACATCGCAGCGTTCCGTTGCAAACGCATCAAAAACGCATGAAAATGCCCTGGAACGCACTGAAAGCCCATTTAAAATTTTGTAAAAAATATGTGTTTTTTTTACCAAAAACGTCCCGGAACGCAAAAAAACGCGGCACATCCCACTGCACTGCGTGTGCAGAAACTCATGCAGATCTGCTCTGAATTTGGTGTGAACAAGGCCTAACGGATGCTATATTCTCATATGGCTGCCATACTTTTCAGTTCGAGAGACCAACCTGCTGCCTAGGGGTTTGGAGTATTCAGCCATCTCTGTGGACATATATAGAACTACTCTAGGTGGCCACTAAAGCATAATTTTCTGTAGGCCCATCTTCCTCTCTTCTCCTTATATACCACTGAACACAAACAGCAACCTCACTTAATGTCAGAATGATGCAAGAATCTTTTTCTGGACAGTCAATTCCAGAGATGCAGTCATCAGCAGTCTTGAAAATCAGAATTTGGGAGCCTTAAAACTCCAGATTTAACCTACAAGCCACCCATCTCTACTGAGAACTGGCGACATCTAGACAAAAACCTCAGAAGAGATAATTTTGTTTTATTTTTTTTGTCTCAACAAAAAGGCCTCAGACTGTTTAGCTACTTTGTACTCCTTTTGCTTTCATGGAATCCACGTAAATCAATCATCAATAAACCAGTTTCAGCAAAAGAAGACGAGAAGGGTTCTACCAATACCCATGTTCCTTGCATGTTGGGAAAAAACTGTATTCTCTAAAAAAAATTATTATAATACAAGTTGAGGAAAATGAATTCCCCCTCCAGATTTCACATACCCCACTCTCAAAAACTCTGGAGGGGCAATCGTTACTATTCTCTCTAATTCAGAGCATACTTTACACCATAGAGTGCAGTCAGAATTTTTCTATTTACCTCCTAACCACTGAGCTATCATACAGTGAACTTTAGGCCTAAGAATGGTTTACGAAAAATAAAGCAGAGGGAAATTAGGTCTACTGTCTGCAACAATAAGGCAGGTTTTGTTTTCATTATTGAAACAGTTAGGAAAATTAAACAAGTGGATATAAGCATTGTGACATTACTTTGCTAAACTGTTTATAAATCACCTAAAAAACCTGAGATAGGAGTGTGAATGCTATCCACTCTTCCTCTCATCAGATGTCAAATGCAGAAGAGAGGAGGCACAAGTCCTCAGCTAGCAATTTAATTATTAACAGAAATGGCTTTACAGTGTGTATTTATAACCTCCACCTGTCATAATGCTTCATGCCATCCGTATAAAATAATGACATGCAATGTAACCACCAGGCCCAAAACCAACTTAATTTGAGTTATTCTTCTTCTAAATTTTGATAATGACCTCTCTTTCCCATTTGACAGCTTCCTACTTTGCAGTGCCCTGGCACCACCCACTTTACTACAGTTTGCTTAACGACAAAGGGAATTTTATGACAATGAAGCCCCTGCATCGACAGGCACAATGCTTTGCCTACCACAGGCTCAACTGGCCAAGTAGAAGTGCCTAGCAGACACTTCTGGCATAGGACACAACAGTGTCAACAACGCACACAGCAAATATATATAACATTTATTTTTTCTGTAACAAAAAAAGTGTTTAATGTGCAAGGTGGGAAGGGGAAACACTGAGGATTGTGTAAACAACTCTGAGGTAGGGCTTCAACTGTCAGGGGACAATTAGTGGAGCAGGATTTTTACATTTAGCCAATTTCTTTTGGCTAAATTTATGTTTAAATTTAGCCAAAAGAAATTGGCTAAATTCTTTAAAAGAAATGCACCAATATGTGTCATTACATGTGACGCAGCAATATTTATTTTTTTTCTAAATTGTGTTTGTATGACAGCGCCAACTAAGTTGCCAATCAAAAAATGTTCACCTACCCCACTCTGATGAAATGTTCAGCTGGGAGGAGGGCAGGAGTAATTTGGGTTACCCAATAAGGGGGGTAACTATTTTGGGTTTCTCACATGTAATGTTAGACAATATAGTGGTATTTGAGGTTTATCCTGTTACCATACCATGCAGGAACAAAAACACTCAAAAGCACATATGCACATATCAGTATTGGTGACTGTATGACAGAGGACCCCTTTCTCCAACACCAGTGACCACACATTGACACACGGAAGTACATGTGATTACCCAATGCACCTCACCTACCCAATTCCGATGAGCTATTCAGGGTCTCCAGCTGGGATTTGTTATGACCTGTTAAAGTATTTCAATTGTATTTAGATGTTTCACAGGGAACTCAAGATCTTGGGAATAAAAACTATATAATGTTATTGTTTGGCAATTCAGAGGGCACAAATTCTAAAATTACAGGTGCACTATTCCCTTTATGGGTAAGTGATGCTATGCATGAAAGACTGACCATTTGTGGCAGAGGAAACAAACTATATGTGAGTGAGACCAATAAGGTCAGTGCTTTCATAAGATCTTAACCCCCTAAAAAAGATCCCTTCATCACTAAATTTTTTAAAGTAAATTTAAAGCCAAACTCCCCCCCCCCCCCCACCTTTGTCTA